CAACACTTTTTTGACCGCTTGGGACTTGCCCGGTTAGAGTGGTTGAATGACCCAGTTTACCGGTTAGGCCAGTTAAACCGCCTCCAGGCCCATGTCCGGTTAACTGTTCCGGTTCGATTTTGCGAACACTGTCAACATTAGACATGCGAAGAAGATATTCTCCTATTTATTTGATAAATGCTTTAAGGATCTTAATCCTCACAATAAAGAAAACTTAGTGAATTATCTGTAATTGGTACTTGTGAAGAAATTCTGTAATGAATTCATAAACAACTGATCTTTCTATTTTATTCATCATAACAGTGTGACATTTCTCACAGTTTGAGTCTGAAATGAAAGGTGAAGAGAAACTTATACATGTGATGTACTGTTTTTATTTTTTTCTTGTTTGAACGCCATGGTTATTGGTGTAAAATGACAAGCGCTTCATTTAATTGCAGGCTTCCTACGAGAAATCTGCTGGTGATCTTCTTGCAGAGATTAAAGGAAACTGGTGTGATGTGCTTATACGAATTCTTATAGATGAATGGAAGAACTGCAAAAAAGGTAGATTATACCATGTATCCCCCATTCTTGGCATTGAAGTTTGTGGTTCATTATACCACGTATCCCGCATTCTACTTTGGTTCACTTTGTTTGTTAATTGCAGCAATTGAGGCATCGGCTCCTCAGTATGATCTTAAACGTGTTCTCTTATCATATTCACCTACTTGCAGTACTGGTGGTAAGATCAATATATTTAAAGTCCTATTCTAGGAGTTTTATAGAATGGAACAAATGGGTAGATCATGATGTTTGTTAACTTTCCCCAGATGATTCATCCTTTGCCTCTGGTGAAAGATTGTGTGACAATGTAAAGGTAATGTGCACCCTTGGTTTTAACTAGAAAGCTCAAAGTATTACATTGGTTCTGGTCCTTTTCTTTTAGTAAAAGTGAAGTTCATTTCTTCACTTCCTCTTTTAAGTAATCTTGATATATTACTCATAGGGGTTTTGTTATTTCTTAAGAGAATAATGAAAATGTTTCCACATCCAAGTAGACAAACAGGTTGTTATATCTAAGAGGCTGAACCTGTTTTTTCTAATATGTTTGTTTCTCCTATCATCATTCTTTTTCTCATGCAGGTATTTATAGTTCATCGTCAGCTTCTTATCTGTTCCATGGGAGGGATGTTGCCAGAACAACCTCATCTTGATGCTCCAACAGATCCATCCACTGACTCTAGGGCTAAAAAATCAGGCCTTGATGTTACAGGCCCAAAGCCTGGGATTGAGATAAATCTAGGTCAGTTTCGGTGTTTTCTGTTCAGTTTGTAACATGCGCCTATTATGTAGCTGATTGCTATGCACTTAATATTGCTTAAATAATACTGCTTTTCATTTTACTTTATTTTATTGGAAATAAGTTGAACACAAAGCTATGGTACAAGACTAAGATCTCTGAACCACTTTTTTTTGGTCAAACTGCTCAAACTATTTAAGAACAATCTTTAAAGGAAAAAGTTTATATAAGGTGGCAACCTTAACTTGTGGAATTAAGGTGCACGTCAAAAATCCATCGGAAAAGGCTGTTTTGATGTTGGAAACCCTCTAATTGATCATCTTGATATCGAGATGTAAGGAAATTGATAGGAGTCCCAAAATAGATTCTCAGGCCATCCTAAGAATTTTTTACACCAAAATTACATCTTATGATGAAATTTGGAGGTGCGCCTTACTTTGATTGTTTTTGGTTGCGACCTTATGCAAGCGACACCCATCTTTTAATGGTCTGTTTTATGCTTGTGCTTTATCCTTTCTGAACATTATGGTGATCACAATTTGCAGTTGATGCAATGCCTTGTAGAGTTGCATTCGAGAGAGGCAAAGAACGCCACTTTTTCTTCTTGGCAGTGGCCAAGGGAACCTCAGGTTGGATCTTACTAGCAGAAGAGTTGCCACTTAAGCCACAGTTCGGAGTTATTCGGATAGTAGCACCCTTAGCAGGCTCTTGTGTATGTACATTCATTTCATACGTTTCATTTGAATGGCCTTGCTAAATTGATTCTACTTGTTTATAAAATTTCTCCCCCATTCCATGCTTATCCATTGGTCAATGAAGTTCCTAGTAAGTTTTGTTAGATTCTGCCTTTTGCAGCATTACCACTAGACATTGCGAACAACGTTTTTTTGTCAGACTGTGAGCATGTCTTCCTCACCTAGGTCTTTGCATCATAAATGTAAAATCTTTTGTACCGTTCATCAAGGTTCATGAGCAAATGTTTTGTACCTGAGTTTTAATTGTAAATGTAAAATCTACGGTTTATCATTTTGGTTAACGAAGTAAATTTAATCCTGAGACGTACACAAGCATGAAAGAGGTCTTGTCGAAGTAGAGGCTAAGGAGAACTACTTTTGCACTATACAAATCAATATGAATACATTTACTTTGATGATTATAAATACAGTTGTACTTGTTTTTTAATGTTATAGTGCAAAACAAGAATGATTTAAAAGAGTTGGTTTTACATTAAATGAAAAATATAGCTGGATTTTGAGTTTGGGATTTATCTATAAGGTCACAATTACTCCTAGCCATTAGGCTGGGGTGTGTCAAGAAGTCTAAGAAATTTTTTTTTTATAACTTTTAAATCTAGTCAATGACACTCTTATAACCACCCAATTTGAAATCCGGTGGACAAGAGTGTTTTTGAGCTCCGTGTACTAAAAGTAAATTGTCTCTTTGTATACTTTTCCTTTCTGTTTTCTCTTAAGACTTGACTCATCCCGACTTTTCTAAATTTGTTTTCCATTTGTGATCTATGAAATTTTGTGAACTGAGGGGCTTCTCTTCTCATGGAAGAATTTTGCAAACATCATCTTCTTTAACTTTTTTTGGTCTACATTGCTTCTATCATTGGTATTGATCCATGAAAATATTTTATGATAGGTAATAAAGTATATGATTTGTTGGGGCCTTAGGTAATGAGATGCTTGATTTGGTTTATACTGTTACTCTGTCTAACAGCCTCGAATCGATGATAAACATTCTAAATGGTTACATCTACGTGTTCGCCCAACAATGTTTTCATTCTCTGACCATGCAAAGTCAAAAGTCTTGGGAAAAATGCGAACCAAAGCTTTGGTTGATGGTCGATGGACACTTTCTTTTATGGACGATGAGTCATGCAAATATGCAGAATCCATTGTACTTGAGGAATTGCGGTTACTAAGAAGTGAGGTGGAGAAAAGGCTAAAACCCTTAGTCCACCTTGAAAGGTTTGAACACTCACAAGATCCCTTAGATTTGGTTTCAGAAGCTTGGCCACCAAATCATTCTTTGTAGTCAAGAGTGTTGCATTTTCATTTATTGTTTGGTTGGGGGGGAGGTGATAGTATTAAGCTTTTCGCAAGCATTTGCCTGTCCGCCATTTTGTAAATTATAAGTTCCATTTTAAGGCAGCCTTGGAACACAAAAATATAGAGTTTTGTATCTCAGTTTTCGAACGCAGAAATGTGGAGCTGTATCTCACCCGATGTATCGATGTCATTCTTTGTACATTAGCCTTTATTGATCATAATTAAATTCAGCTTGAGTGCATAGATCCTTTCTCTAACAATTTAAGTGTTTATTTATTTTAATTATTTTTTTTTGGGTTTAGCTTATTTGTGGAAGTTGGTTGTGATAATATTTTTTCTGCTAGATAATCTGGAATTTCCTTGTTTCTTATCCTTGAAGGTGAAAAGGGGATTTGTTTTGTCTGAAATTATTAAACTCTAGTTTGGACTTCTCCTTGGTTCCTTTTATTGTTCCAAACTATTTCTAATGGTTAAGTATATACATCTTGACTTTTGCCCCCTTGTAATTGTTGAGTTTAGTACCCCACCATCTTTATTCCTACTCATTTGAAAAGGCTAATAGGCAGGTCCACATCTAGCCGTCCATAAAGGAGCAAATCATTCAAAGCCCAACTAAGTATTTTTTATCTTTTTGGTGTACGTAAAACCTAACTGAGTGCTTCAATTTCCTAAATGGTTGTAAGCCTTAAGGGAGCATCTTGATGCTATTTATACTTGTATGACTCTGCAGTATCTAGGCATGCTATATTCCATGTTAGTCTTTGAGTGGGTGGTTGAGATTTTCCCAATTGAGATTTGCTTTTCTAGTGTTGACTACCCATCCAACCTCAGCATGCCCTAAAAGCAAATTCTTTATTTAAGTAACACCAAGCTTTTTTCTTACGTAAGCTACATTTAGGGTTGTAATAGGCTAGGTAACCCAATGGGCTATTGGGCTTTGGGATAACCCTGACATGCATGTCCATTGTTCACAAACCAAGGGCATAATGATACTTCGAATACAAACCAAGGGCATGATGATACTTTGAAAACCTTAAGACACTTCTTAGCCTTTGAAATATCACTATAGAAGCGCTTAATGTCATTTAAAATCTTACACATCTTCAAATGACACATGGATTTGTGGTGTTTTAAAAATCTTTCACCCCTTCAAATGGTGCACAGATTTGTTGTATTTTAAAATGCAATTTTGAAATTGGAAATTTTGACACTTGTGTCTATATCAGACCTTAAGATGTGTATCCATGTCTCCATAACATAGGTTAGTGGGGATTTTTTTCTTATACTATGGCTGTAAAAGGAAACAATGACTCGGGTCTTGATTGGTGGTGAGTTAGGCCTTTAGTTCTAATTTTGACAGGGCCCATAAATCTCAAGTCAGTTTTGATGTTACATGCTTGCACATACCAAATCCCCTCAAGATGCAATCAATTAACACACTTAGTAAGATACACAAATATTGTCATGGGTGGTTGTATAGGTTATTTAAAGGGGTCTACACTTTCAGTATGCTGAAGACAAACACCTACACCAACTTTGGCAGGATACCATAATGAGTTGATTCCTAATTAATTTTGGGTCCAAGATGGAGAAAACCTAGAAACCTATGAAAAGCACAAAACATGAAAGTAGAAATATTGTGAGAGTTACATTCATGCCTAAGGCTACTCATTTCTCATTTACTTTGTATTAAAAAACTATATGTAGTCCATATGGGTGGGGCAATGAAAAGTTTAGAACCCAATGCATCAAGTGAAGTCCACGTTAGTCTTGTCCATGTTCAATATCTACCATTCTTCCTTTGAGCATGTGAAGCCTACTCATGCAGGACCATACTGTATATTTACGACCCTGGCCAAAACAATGTGCAAAAGGATTTTTTTTGGTCTAAACTGCTTGAGAATCACCAAACAAGTATTTTCCAATAGAAAGAACTACTCTTGCTTAGGGTTTTACCCACGGGAGTGATTGGACGATATGCTCTCGCAGGAGCATATAATATTTTACACTTGTATTGATAAATAATATCCATCATCATTCCTTTTTGTGTATATGTGTTTTGAGCACTTTGTAGAACTTAGAAAGTTGAAGCCCTGGCTTAAAAATTCTAATTCATACTTTTATGGACGACATTTGATTCCATACTATTGTTGTCACAACGCTCCAATTAAACCTAAACTTTTTCATTTCATTTTTCTTTTGAGGAAGAAGTTTTTATTTGAATTTGTGGCTTGATATTGTTGATCTAATGTTGTTGGCTGGAGATTGACAAATATTTGGAAAATTTTGCCTGAATTTTCAATGCTTCAAAAGTGAGTTTTATTTAATTCAAATTTAAACAAAAAAAAGAAAAAAAAATCTGTTTGTGCTAAGACTTGCTAAAGAGAGGGCCCCGTTGCTCCCAGTACAAAGTATAATGCTAATTTATCATGGGTGGTGTTGTGTGTGTATGTATTTCTATTTTTGTGTTTTTGGATAATTTAATGGGGAAGACATGCCCCCAACTTATTTTTTCAAATAGTTTAAGAGTTGGTTTTTTGACGGTATTGGTGCAAGGGGAAATGGAAATCATAATGTGGCAATTATGGTGTAGAGGTGCTACCACTAGGACCCAAGCCTCTTTCCCAAATATATTTCTAATTTGCAACTCTAATGGTGAACTTAGAGAGATTAGTGCTCCACTCTTTCTAATAATAAATACCTTTTTTAATGAAATGTTTTTTTGAAAAAATATTATTTAAATAGTTAAACAACCTAAAGGCACTAAGGTGGTCAAGTCAACAAATTAATCAATAAAGTGTGTAACTCTTCAACCCTTTCATAAAAAAGTACCCAAGAAAATTTGTCGATAAAGTGTTCCTCTTTAACCATTTTATTAAAAATACCCAATATGCTCTTTTTTTTGGGGCTTGGAATCCTTTCTCTAGGGCTAACCTATTTGGTCCCACTTAAGTGATATGAGCTAAATGATGTAAATTCTCATACTTGTATGAGTTTCAAACCCTAGTTATACAATTAACCCAAAACAACTAGGGATATTGCATCACCTGGTGGGCTTTTGGTTGAGCAAAATGGTGGAACTATCTCCATTTGTTAAGGGCTCTGAATTCGAAATATGTAATTTTTTTTATTAAAATCTCATATACCATGTTTGGAACATGGGATCAGTGCTGTTTATTTTGCTTCGCTTCAGCTGAAGAGACCAAAGCCTTTAGTTAGGCCTAGACCGAAGCGAAGGGAGGCCTGGTGCTGCCGCTTCGGTCAGATTTAGGCTACATCGGTGAGCTTATGGCCGAAACAAAGAAATATCAATATAAAAATATTTTTTATTTTTTTTCAAATTTTTATTTATTATTTTTATATATAACATCTAATTTATTTTCTTAAAATTAAAAAAAAAATGTATGAAGTCTTCATTCGAATCAGCTTAAGCACCAAATTATTTTATTTTTCTTACCAAACCAAAGAGGATTCCGAAATGAATTTGACAACATTGTCAAGGATATACAAGGGCGTATATTTATTTGACCTCACTTGGGTCAAGTGAGGCCAAAGGTTAAATTACCAAAGACTCCTTTGCATTTACGATTTTAAATTTGAGCATTTTGTGAAATTACCTTAAGACCCCTTTTCATTGAGGATTTTAAATCCGAGCATTTTGGGTATTTTTAACAAAATAATTGAAAAGGCACTTGAGTAAGCCAACCAAACTTGTTATTTGACCACCTCAATAACTTTTTAAGGGTTATTGACCATTTCGATGATATTTTCTCCACATTTTCCCACTGTGGCCTTTTGTATTCGAATAAGTGGAGAGTTGAAATGCTTAGTTGAATATTTGTTATGTCTACATGCTAAATGGCACCTTTTACTTTATAGATTAATTTATTGAGCATATACCTCATTTCAAAATCATTTTCTAATAGAAACAAACAAAGGCCTTTTTGGTTTATTGAGCTTTAAAATTTGAAAATATGGGGTGTCATTTTCGATTCCCTTATTGAGATGAGAAAATAGAGACCAGAAATTCTAAAGATTTTACAAGTCTTTTGGGTGGATCTCGTCATGCAGGCGACATCATGTGTATGTTTGTATGGCTATTAATTTTATTTGGAATTAGACTATTTTATCGACAACTGTTTACTTTAGATAATATTATCTCGTTAGCTGTTTGATACGTGTCATGTATTATATACAATATTATTTAATTATTGAACTTAGTTGCAGCAATTTTTAGCTATTTTTTTGCAATAAATATAAGGTGCGGTTTGTATAGAGCCTAGGCTCCAAACAATCAAATTAGAGCCGATAGTGTAAAAAAAAATGTGGTTTCAATGCTGAAAATCTTTTTGATAGCCTTAATATATATTTTCATATTTATTTATGAAGTTTAAAGCCTAAAAAATTTTGTAGATCGAGAGATCTATGAAAACTTGAAAATGTTGAAAATTGACGGTCCAAAAGTGCGTTACAAAATATATTATTTCCAAACTTCCAATCCAATTTTGTCCCAGTCCATGCATATTGATGTAGAGATGATGAATTTGAGGATATTTGGGCATCAAAACAACCTCTTCTAATGAAATTTTTGAGGTAGGTTCGAATTTGATTGTTTAGAGCCTCGGCTCTATATAAACTTTTCCCCATAAGTATATGGTTTTAACCAAATTAGTATAAATAAGTAAAAATTATTTATCAAAATGATAAATTTTACTGATTATAAGTTGATTTCATATGACTTTATGATGATCACCATCAAATAATAGATAATTCATTATCAAGATTAATTTCATTGAAATAATGGATTATCAGCAATAACAAGTAAATTAAAAAATGCTTCAAATTTTGAATGATGTATTAACAAGCCTTTTTTTGTTTTTAGTGTAACACATTAACAAGCATTATACTACAGTTAATACACTTTCTTACTGATCTAGAGAGTGAGAGAGATTATATTCAACCTCGTACCCCGTCGAACAGGAAACAGGTAAAATTTGTCCACCTTGTGGAACAATGTGGAGAGAGAAAGTGGAGCATGAGAGAGAGAAGAGAGAAGAGAGAAGAGAGGAGAAATTTTAGACATCTTATGCTTTGTGGAGAGAGAGAAAGGAGCATGAGAGAGTGTGATTTGTGTTTACAAACTCGGTTTGTCTTAACTCGAAACTGGCGGCATTGACCGGTTTTGGCGGTTTGGGTGGGTATTTAATTTTTTCGAAAAAAGATATAAAATCCCAAAAAATAATGGATTCATTTATTATGTATTTTTAAATGTTTTTTTATTTTTTGGCAAAGATTAGAAAGAGTTTTTGGTTTACATTTTTTTTTATCTTGTTTTTAAGATTTTCGAAAATACATTTAGGCATAAATTGATTTTTTTAAATCTATTTTTCAACTTTATTTGATGGACTTTATTTAATCAAGCTTTAAATATATTTTTCATATTTTTTAAAATTTTTATATTTTTTAACGCATATTACACGCGGATGGGGACATGTCCAGTTCGGCTAGGTGAACCGGCTCGTTTATGGTTACTCGGACCCTAGATTTTCCCAACACTGGGTGTCACACCCCCCGTTGGGGAGAGAGAGAGAGAGAGAGAGAGAATTTAGATACTTTAGGGAATAGGGAGATATAAATTTTAGTGTTAGAGAGAGAGAGAGGATACCCTACAATGTGGAGGGAGAGTGACAGAGACCCACATTGAGAGAGAGAGAGAGAGAAATGAGAGGCAGCACGTGAGAGAGAATGAGAGCCATCTCCGGCAATCATGCATATAGCCTTAGAGAGAGAGAGATGGGGGACGTGACATGCACACGCGGCTCAGCCGTAGAGAGAGAGAGAGAAGAGAGAGAAAGAAGGGGGACCGACCAAATAATAGAGAGTGAAGAGGTAAAAAGGTTAGTGTGATGGGAATGAGAATGGAAGTGAGAATACCGACCGTTCGCATACCTTTTTGCAGCATAAGACAGAGACTACGCTTCTCTCTCTAACTTTCTCTCTCTACAGCGAAAAGAGGCCATTTCAACATCACCCCCCACCCCAACAAAGGACAGTCTTCAAATTAAAATTACATTTCATTCTTAGTCATACATACATACGAGAATGGAGAGACATTCTGACACCTTTCTCTCTCTCTACACAATATGACCATTTCATCTCCCCTCTCTCTCTCTCTCTCTC